GCCATTTAAGGTGGCCTTTTAAGCTGCTTAAGGGGAAGTTATTGTGGCAGAGAGAACTAGGTGTGCACAAACACGAATGTGAGGGTCGGGGAGTGGAGTGCCTCGTGGAGGCATCTAGCTGGATTCTAACCTGTAGGCACCTTTGAGGATCATAAAGTCTTTTAGGACAGAGAGAGGAAGGGGACATGGTACTGTCAGGTCATTATATTTCCAGAGAACCAGTGATGTTATAAAGGGTGCAGTGATGAGAGGCTGTTGAATATCCCTGGGAAAAGGTGATAGTGGCGCAGAGTTCTCACTGCTATGTGTGCCTCAGATGTCAGACCTTGTGTGCACTTAAAAGTGCTTATTTCTAAAGAGCTGGAGTAAGGAAGCAGCCAGATAACTAGTTAACATGGTTTTCCCCAAACTTGCCTGTTTGCACGTTTAGCTGGTGCCACGCTGGACCTTCTGAATCCATTCTGGCAGTGTCTGGGAATCCCTGTGGTTAAGCAAGCATGTGTGTAATATATAATATTACATGCATATGATCATGGACACTATTGTTATGTCTCCCCGGAAGTATCAACTGAGGCATAGCCTGCGAACCCTTATTCAGAAGACGCTTTAATGCTTTTGAGATAATGTCAGGTCAGACTGAAGAAAGTGACCTCTGGCTCATTTTATGAACATACGCAGTTTTCTCTAAATGTGTGAATGAGACTCTCTGAACCCAAACAAATCTATCCGGGTCCAGAAAAATAGATTTTAGTAATTTGGGTTGTCAATGTAATTAGTTGTCCTAGAATGTATCCAATTTGATTTAAAAAATAAAGATACTTTCTCTAACAACAGGAAAACATTTTTTTTTCTTTTCCCTGATATATGTCTTTGAGACAGTCATTATAGGTTCATGCCTGATCCTTTTAGTTAATTGAAAAATCCATCTTTGTTTTGTTTATTAATAATACACTGGACACCGAGGATCTTACCACAGTGTGAGACTTGTACATCAACATTAGCTTATGCCCTTGTGCCCCCAACCCTGCCCCTGCCCCCACTCGCTGGAGGGAACCGCAAGGTACTGAATTTTTGGGAGCACTATCTAAAGACAACTCTAAGATTTGGTTTTTTTTAAAGTTATAAGTGCATTTATCTGTGGTTCCTCCTTCCCTTTCAGAGTTTGGAGCCTCTTCCAGCCAGTGGACCTGATTTTGGAGCCTTAGGAGAAGAAGCTGAATTTGTTGAAGTTGAACCTGAAGCTAAACAGGAAGTTCTTGAAAACAAAGATGTGAGTATTCTGTTGAAGGGCTGGACATAGTTGCTACTAGAAACACTCACCTCCGTAGACCTGTAGGGAGAGGGGACGAATTGACCCCTCTCCGGGACTTCGTCAAAGTCTGGTTTGTAGCCAGCGACATTTTAGAAAGACTGGTCCTTTAGAAAAATTGTTTCTGGGTTTAGAAATATGGCTTTTCCTTGATTATTTATGCGGGAGGTTTAAACAAACACATTTTGTATTTATGTCATTAAAAAGAAAAGTATTTCAAAGATAAACAAATTATGTTTAAGTTTATTCTCTATTCCCTGCTTCCAGAAAAAAGACCTTGGGCCTTGAATGAAACTTTTCCTAAATTTTGTTGCTTTTGAAATTAAATACAGCTGAAGAAATATAAGCATATTTCCATTAATTCTCAAATTAATATGATCTCTGTGCAGTATTCCAGTCATCTATAAGTTACAAATTTCCCCAATACTTCCTATCATCTCGGCTTTATTTTTCTGTTGCTTAGTAACATTTACTATACCATATATATATATATATATATATATATTTCCCTTTTTTCCCTTCTTAAAATATAAGCTCCATTGAGGCAGGAATTTATGTTTTGTTTACTGCTGTATCCTGTGTTTAGAATAACTCTTGTCTCAGAGGTGATCAGTGTACTTTTCTTGAATAAATTAAATAACCAACTGCATATTCACTGTGCTCAGAGGTGAGGGGCCCTCTGAGTCAGTATTTCCCGTGCCGTTGTCCACACCAGCTCTCTGGCAAGGTGCACACGGTGGAGGTCAGGTCACAGTCAGCGTCACCAGGGGCCAGTACACGGGGAGCACGTTGCAAAGGACGTATAGGGGACCTCTGGGCCTGCTGGGTTTAGGACTGACGTGGTCCCTGGTCATCTGGATGCAGATGACCTTATTCCCAGGAAGTACAGACATAGCAAAGGGTAAGTTCAAGTCACCAGTTAGATGAAAAAGTATGAAAAATACATAGAATAAAGTCTGGGATTAATAAATGTGGATTATTAAACTTGAAGGAAAATCCTTGAAATGAATTTCAGACATTTGTCTTTAGCCTGGATGCCTGACCTCTTGCCCCGTGTCACCCTGAGCAGTCTGTGTCCCCTTGTCACATCCAGGTGGTGGTTCAGCACGTACATTTTGATGGACTCGGAAGGACTAAAGATGATATCATCATGTATGAAATCGGAGACGTTTTTAAGGCTAAAAACCTTATTGAGGCAAGTATTCTCTTGGCTTGGCACCTTTTCCATTCTCTTCCGGAGGTCCTGTGACTCCCGGGTCCTCACACCGCTACACGCCCGCCCTGGCCCCTGCTGATGACCTTGCCCCTCCCTGGAGGGAGCACTGGCCTCCCGCACCGGCCCCCCGGCTCTCTGGGTGCGTCCTGCAGACTGACATGGGCACTCGCCCCTCCCTGAGAGGGCGTCTGTCCTTCCCGAGGCTGGCCCACCCTGCGTTCTTACAGCTGTCCCAGCGCTGGGGGGGCTGCTGGGCTGAGTGCCGAGCCCTCCCTGCACCTGCTCGGCGCTCTCCTGACCTGGGGGTGGCCCGTGGTTGTCACCTGCCCTGCTGCCCCCTTGGGCCCTTGCTTCATTTCTCCAGTCTCTTTCCTGGGTTCCGTCACCTACCCTCTGTCCTCTGTGGGCTCCTTCTGTCCTTCTGACCTTGGAATCACATTGCATGCCAGCAGGTCACCACAGCTGCCTCGTGGCCAGGGCCAGTGGCTCCTTTCTTTTCTCTTTTCTTTTTTTTTTATTAATCCTTGCCCGAGGATCTTCTTTTCCATTGATTATTAGAGTGAGAGGGGAAGAGGGGGGAGAAAGAGAGAGAGGAACATTGATGTGAGAGATGCACATTGATTGGTTGTCCCCCTCATGTGCCCCAACTAGGCCAGGAATCCAACCTGTACCCCAGGTACGTGCCCCTGACCGGGAGTCAAACCTGTGACCCTTCATTGCGAGGGCTGACGCTCTGACCACTGGGCACACTGGCCAGGGTGAGAGGCTCCTTTCAGTCCCCATTTTCCTGACCTTTCGCACTGTTCGGCCATTTCCACTTTTAAAAGTTAATATTTAAGAAGATGATTAATATATAAGTACAATTTAAAAACAGCATAAAACAGTCTAACGGAGTGGAGGGTGTTGAAATGGTCCGTAGGTCCTTCGCTCGCTGCCGGGCCCAAGCCTCCCAGCCTTCGGAGGAAGCCGGGCTGAGGCTCCCGGCGCCTCTCAGGCGTCCGCCAGGAGTGGCGTGCAGGCCAGAACACGCCGAGCCTGTAGGCAGCAGTCCCGCCTCCACCTCTCCCTGCACCTTTCATGTCTGACATCGTTGATCGTCACAGAGAGCTTCCACATCTGCACACACCAGCGGCTTGGGGTCTCGCGTGCTTTTCCTTCATTTGTTGTCAAGTTTCCTGCGGGGGAGCATTGATGTAAGTCGTCTCCTGTGAACAGTGCCAGTGAGCATCTTTGCGTACATGTGCCGGTGTTTCTGTAGGATGCATTCCTGCAAGTGGGCTGCCGGTCAGAGGGCCTGCGCTCTGCAGGGTGAGCAGTGCCAGCTTGCCTTCCAGAGGGATCCGTCCAGGCCATGCCCCTGCCAGCAGCATGTGAGAGGCTCTGTCTCAACACCGGCAGTTGCACACTAAAATTTCCTGCCAACCTGTTAGGTGGAAAATACAATCTCATCGTTTCAATTTGCACTTTTTCTTTATTTTAATTAATTAATTATTTTTATTACAGATGTCCCTCCTTTTGCCTCCTATTGACACCCTCCTCTCCACATCAATTTGCACTTTTTAATCATGAATGAGATTAAGCACTGTTTCCATGTCTGTTGCCATTCATATTTCTCTTGTGAATTACCTGCTGGTGTCTTTGTTTCCCATTGGATCGTTGGGCTTTTGTTAATAAGCTTCTTGCATATTGAAAAATGATAACTGTCACGTCGAATATATTTTTCTTGCTTTACTCTCTTTGGAAGGCATTTATATCCTCTGTTCTCAACGTTTCCTTTCCCGCACTCTCCTAGGCTGCTTCTGTGTCTCATCATTCACCTCAGGCCCTGTCGTCAGCTTCTTTCCCTGTGACCACCCTGAAGTGTGGGTTTTCCAGGAGGACCAGTCTCCTGGGTGATTGCATCCACACTCCCGATTTCAGCTACAACCTCTGCTGAGGTTCTCAGCCTCCTTTCTAGCCTTGATCTCTGCTGAGCGTTGGCCCTGCACTGGCAGCTTCCACTCAGCCTTTCCGCATGGAGTTGCCACAGCATCTCCAGCTGTACACGGCTGGAAGCTGTGCTCCTCGTCTCTCCCCCCAGCTCTGCCCATCTCCACCCCCGACTTCTCTAATGGCACCGCGAAGCGATAGCCCAGAGCCAACCGCTTGTGGCTCTGCTCTCCTCCCAGGTGCTCTGTCCAATGAGTGGTTGTCCTCGGGCGCCTGCCTGTGAAATGTGTCGTCTGTCTCCCCTCTAACACTGGGGCCTGGACTTGACCAGGTCTGCTGTGGGGTCCCTTCCGCCTCCCTCTCTGTCCAGTCTTCTCCTTCCTCCATGTTCACCCACATGTCCATCCTGTCTCTCCCTGCTGACAACCCTGCAGCAACTCCCCTTTTCCTGCAGGGTGAAATCTAAGCTCAGCTGTGACGCGAGGCCCTTCCCAGCCTCCTTCCTGAGTCCCTTTCTGACCTCACCCTTCTCCTCCCACTGTCCCTCCAGGGGGTCTCCTGGCATCAGAGGACTGCTCTTGACTGAAGAGGAAACAGCAGAGTGGTCGTTAGGAAACTCAAACAGCCTACAAATGCACGCGTGTGCACGAGAGGTTCCCTCTCCCCGGACGGCAACCAGCTCTTGGCTGTGATTCCTTCCAGGAAAGCCTGCTGCGTTGTGTGCATTGTAATCTGGGTTTTTGTTTCTACAGAAGGGGTTGTATCATGAGCTCTGATCGCATCTCTTCTTGCCCCTTAGTGCGTGGTCTCCTTCCTGGTCTCAGTGGTGGTCTCTTCTCAGTGACCAGCCCCAGATGGGAAACCGCCAGCCGGGACACAGGGCCACTGTCCACGTGTCTACCGTAGAGAAACACCTTCTCTGTTTTCTCTCATAGGTAATGCGGAGATCTCACGAAGCCCGTGAAAAACTGCTCCGTCTGGGAATATTTAGACACGTGGATGTTTTGATTGATACGTGTCAAGGTACATGTTGTGGGTGGCATGTCCACGACGCCCCCTCCCACTGTCCTCCAGGGTCACAGAACCTGTGTGTGCGGCCAGGGATGGGTAGCCCTGGGGGTTATCAAACAGCCGGGGCTTGGCAGTTAGTGGCCTCTGAGTAACTGGACTCGTGTGCCAGGCCGAGGGGGATTGGCAGACTTTGAAGATAGGGTCCTCCAAACGCCTGGATGGCACCAGCGATCTGAGAAGGACCCCAGAGGTGGGAGCCAGGCGTCCCTCAGGGCTGCCCAGCCCAGCAGGTGTCCAGGTGGCTTGCAGACTCCGTCTAACTGCTTTGAAGAGGCGGGCGCTACAGTCAGGGTTGTTGTTGTTTGTGTTCATTTGCTTGTTTGCTGTGGCAGACGGTCAGGCTGGTGTCATAGCTCTGCTCCTTGAGGTCCCCTGGGGCTGGTGTGGTTTTCCATGATGTCACGGGGTCCCCTGGTCCCTGGGATGGCCGAGCACCATCTCAGCCTCCACCCCTCTCATTGCAGCATCAGGGAGGGGGGAAAGAGGGTGAAGGGCTCCCTCAGCACCTGCCCTCGGTGTACGCAGCTCCCCTCTGATCCCCGGCCAGGCCGAGCTGCTCATGTGCCACATCTGGTGCAGGGAGCCTGGGGAATAAAGTCTCAGTGGCCATGTACGCAGCCAGCAATTGAGGGTTCACAGTGGTTCTCGAAGTGTGGTCCCAGACCAGCAGCACCGCCCTCCCTGGGGGCTTGGCGGAAATGTTGGGGGTGCGGCAGCAATCCGGCATGACGAGCCCTCCAGGTGACTGATGCAGCTGAAGTTGGAGGCCCGCTGGCTTAACGAGGGGAGAGATGCAGAGACGCAGCTCCCTGCGCCCTCTGGTGCCCGTCGTGCCCGCGCCCAGCTCGACACATGGGCTTGTGGCAGGATCCCGGTGAGCCGCACAGAAACCTGGTCAAGTGTCTCCAGCCCTCTTTCAGAAAGAGTCGTTGTCAGCGAAGGGGACAGGCCAGGAGAGGTTTAACGTGCCCCAGGTCAACAAGTGCGCGACGGGGGCCCCTGGCACCCCTCTGCAGTGCTGCTCCTGGTGGCCAGTCAGGGTGGCGTGTTCGTGTCAGCGGGTCCACGCCTGCCAGCAGTCCACCCTGGCCGCTCGCTGGAATTACCCGGGAGCTTTAAAGAGGATCGTTCAGGGCAGTGGGTCTGTCCTTGTGACTGCGGCGGGAGTGCCCGAGTGCGCACAGCAGCACGCGTGACCCCTCACGCAGACTGCACTCCAGTTCACAGCACGGTCCCTGCTGGCTCAGTGACGGAGCCCGTTAGTGCGGGACGTGATAACGGCTGTGCGAGGAGCTTGGACAGGGTTATGTGGAAACTACTGTGTATTCAGTTTTTCAACGAAGCTAAAACTGCTTTAAACAGTAACACCTATTAATTAGAAAGGAGAAAATCGGTGCCGGCACGCCACCCCGACCAGCTGCATCAGTGTCGGGAGCCAGTGCCGGGTGTCTGTGAGCTTGACAGCTTCCAGGAGCATCTCCTGTCCAGCCAGGGTCGGAGCCCGCCCCCCTTCCTGTGGGGGGCCCACGCCCTGCAGAGCTCAGCCCTGGTCCTCTGCACCCCAGGCCCGTGGTGGGTAATGAGGCAGCTGCGCCGAATTCGACAGCAATCACCCCCAGGCACTGCACCCCTAGCTTGGAGAAGGACAAACATAGTCACCTCCTGCATTTGTTCGTGCCTCTTGCTTCTCTTTCAGGGTGACTAGAGTCCCTCTTGTCACATGAATTCCACTTTTTAATGTCAGTTAAATTGAGGCCCCAGATACGTCCGAGGCCCTCCCTGACAGGAGAGCAGAAGCAGGACTGGGTGCTGAGTGGTGGTGCTGCCGGGGTGGCCCTGCAGCCAGCCTGCTGCCGTGATCTGTGCGGGTTGGTGCTTGGCCGACAGGCGTGGATGCTGAGTGGCGGTGCTGCCGGGGTGGCCCTGCAGCCAGCCTGCTGCCGTGATCTGTGCGGGACGGTGCTTGGCCGACAGGCGTGGATGCTGAGTGGCGGTGCTGCCGGGGTGGCCCTGCAGCCAGCCTGCTGCCGTGATCTGTGCGGGACGGTGCTTGGCCGACAGGCGTGGGTGCAGAGTGGCCGTGTTCCTGAAGTTGAAAGAACAGCGTGATCCCCACAGGAGGCTTAACATGAACACAGCTTCAGGGTGCTCCTTAGCAGTAGGACCTAAAATGGAAGTACGTGTTCTGTCCGTCTCATTGCTGAGTCTTTTCTCTCACCCAGGTGATGACGCACTTCCAAACGGGTTAGACGTTACCTTTGAAGTAACTGAACTGAGGCGGGTGACGGGCAGCTACAACACCATGGTCGGGAACAACGAAGGCAGCATGGTAGGACTCCGCACCCTCGCGGGGACCGCAGTCACGCGCTGTGAGCGCTGCTCTGAAGTCTGACAGCAGCTTCCAAGCCTCCCCCCTCCTTTGCTTGTGGGGTGACCCGTGGCTTCTCAGTAGTCCTCTTAGAATGGGTCGTGATGTTTTGGATTATTTGAAAACAAGATTAATGTTAGTAGTGAATTAGGAATGAGTTGGGGGTGTTCATATGACATTTCTTGTTCAAATTTCCCTGAACTCCAAACCCACGGAGTTGGTTTCCCTGAGCCTCCCGGTGAAGTTGACCAGTGCAGCTGCCCTCAAATCGGCCCGCCGAGTGCGCGGGGCACGGGCATGCAGCAGAGATGGGTCGTATGGAGTGAGCAGTCACAGATGATTGCGGCCAGGTCTCAGTCAATGTTTGTGTCCTCTTTTAGGAGGGCGCCTTATTCAGCCTGGTGCATCTCGAGACATCTCCTTCCTTCACTGAACTCCACTGTCTTTTTGTCTCCCCAGGTGCTTGGCCTCAAGCTCCCCAATCTGCTTGGCCGCGCAGAAAAGGTGACCTTCCAGTTTTCCTACGGCACAAAGGAGACCTCCTACGGCCTGTCCTTCTTCAAGCCACAGCCTGGACACTTCGAAAGAAAGTAGGTAGCAGACAGGCCTTGAGTGTGGTGCTGGTGTGAAGTCAGAGTAGGAAGCAGACAGGCCCTTGAGTGCGTGGCTGGTGTGAAGTCAGAATAGGAAACAGACAGGCCCTTGAGTGCGTGGCTGGTGTGAAGTCAGAGTAGGAAGCAGACAGGCCCTTGAGTGCGGTGCTGGTGTGAAGTCAGAGTAGGAAGCAGACAGGCCCTGAGTGCGGTGCTGGTGTGAAGTCAGAGTAGGAAGCAGACAGGCCCTTGAGTGCGTGGCTGGTGTGAAGTCAGAGTAGGAAGCAGACAGGCCCTTGAGTGCGGTGCTGGTGTGAAGTCAGAGTAGGAAACAGACAGGCCCTTGAGTGCGGTGCTGGTGTGAAGTCAGAGTAGGAAACAGACAGGCCCTTGAGTGCGTGGCTGGTGTGAAGTCAGAGTAGGAAGCAGACAGGCCCTTGAGTGCGTGGCTGGTGTGAAGTCAGAGTAGGAAGCAGACAGGCCCTTGAGTGCGGTGCTGGTGTGAAGTCAGAGTAGGAAGCAGACAGGCCCTTGAGTGCGTGGCTGGTGTGAAGTCAGAGTAGGAAGCAGACAGGCCCTTGAGTGCGGTGCTGGTGTGAAGTCGGAGTAGGAAGCAGACAGGCCCTTGAGTGCGGTGCTGGTGTGAAGTCAGAGTAGGAAGCAGACAGGCCCTTGAGTGCGTGGCTGGTGTGAAGTCAGAGTAGGAAGCAGACAGGCCCTTGAGTGCGTGGCTGGTGTGAAGTCGGAGTAGGAAGCAGACAGGCCCTTGAGTGCGTGGCTGGTGTGAAGTCAGAGTAGGAAGCAGACAGGCCCTTGAGTGCGTGGCTGGTGTGAAGTCGGAGTAGGAAGCAGACAGGCCCTTGAGTGCGTGGCTGGTGTGAAGTCAGAGTAGGAAGCAGACAGGCCCTTGAGTGCGTGGCTGGTGTGAAGTCAGAGTAGGAAGCAGACAGGCCCTTGAGTGCGTGGCTGGTGTGAAGTCAGAGTAGGAAGCAGGCAGGCCTTGAGTGCGTGGCTGGTGTGAAGTCAGAGTAGGAAGCAGACAGGCCCTGAGTGCGGTGCTGGTGTGAAGTCAGAGTAGGAAGCAGACAGGCCCCTGAGTGCGGTGCTGGTGTGAAGTCAGAGTAGGAAGCAGACAGGCCCTGAGTGCGTGGCTGGTGTGAAGTCAGAGTAGGAAGCAGACAGGCCCTGAGTGCGGTGCTGGTGTGAAGTCAGAGTAGGAAGCAGACAGGCCCTGAGTGCGTGGCTGGTGTGAAGTCAGAGTAGGAAGCAGACAGGCCTTGAGTGCGGTGCTAGTGTGAGGTCAGAGTGGCTGGCTGCTTGTGAACGGAGACCGCATAGAACCGTCTGCCCCAGCGGGGGTACTGCCCGCGGGGCATTCCTTGTGAAGACGAGCCCACACGTGCATTTTCACGTCTGTTGCTCTGTGTGCAGGTTGCAGCCGCTGTCTCGGCTGCTCAGGCCCTGTCCCATTGCCTCCTAGCTTCTCCGTGAACTTGTATAAGGTGACTGGGCAGTTCCCGTGGAGCTCACTTCGGGAGACCGACAGGGGCGTGTCCGCCGAATACAGTGTGAGTAGCTCTCCGTCCTCCCTCCGTGCACCCCGGGAGACCGCAGGAGGGGCGCGGGGCAGGGAGAACTCAGACCTGGCAGCGGTCTAGCGCTGGGGGGCGGGTGGGCCGGCGTGGTGGCTGGGTCACCCTCTGCACTTTGCCCTCCTGGCCAGGCGCCTCTTCATGGGCCCAGCTGCCGAGGCCAGAGTGGCTAATGTGCCCGGTGGCAGCTTCTCTGACCCAGTCAGGTTTCCTCTGTGCTCCTGACTTCCTAAGGTGCCACCTGTTTGTCCCTCCTCCTGTGCTAAGATCCGGAACCTGTGATAGCTGGCCGATTGCCTCGCTGTTGGCGCACACTCAGGTTCACTTCCAGCGGGACCTGCCGAGTGCAGCTCAGGGAACTGCATTCCTCTGGCCGCGTTGTGGCTTGAAGATGAGCCTGCTCTTTCCCCTCCTCCTTTTTTTTAATCCTCACCTAAGGGCATTTTTGCATTTATCTTCAGATAGAGTGGGAGGGAGAGAGGGAGGAAGAGAAAGAGAGAAACATCCATGTGAGAGAGACACATCCAGTGGCTGCCACCCACACGACCCCAACTGGAGCCGGGGACAAACTGCAACTGAGGTACGTGCCCTTAGCGGGAACCGAACCCCGGTCTCTGGTCCGTGGACCAGCGCTCTAACTTCTGAGCCAAACTGGCCAGGGCTCCCCTCTTTCTACCCATGTTCCTATTCCTCTCCTGTCCTAGGCTTTAGTCAATCGAAGCAGTTCCCCCAGGGTGGTCCTCAGACCTGCAGCATTGGCCTTGCCGCAAGCTGGTCAGAAATAGAAACCCCAAGCCCTGGCCGGTTGGCTCAGTGGTTGGAGCGTCGGCCTGCGGTCCAGAGAGGCCCGGGCTCAGTTCCCGCTGAGGGCACGTACCCGGTTGCAGTTTGTCCCCGGCCCCGGTTGGGTTGTGTGGGTGGCAGCCACTCGATGTGTCCCTTTCACGTCGATGCTTCTCTCTCTCTCCCCCCCTCCCACTCTATCTGAACAAAAAAAGGAAAAAAAAGAAAAAAGAAAAATGTCCTTGGGTGAGGATAAAAAAAAAAAATCTCTGGGAACAGGGCCCAGGACTCGGTTTTAGTCCCCCCCACACATCCCCCCGGATTGGGTCTGAGAACCCCACTGAAGCCCGAGTCCCTGCCTGAGCCTGACCCGGCACCCGGGGCCTGGGCACTCGTCAGTCACTCGTGTGTCTCACCTGCAGACCGAGGCCAGGGAGACGGGAAGGCCAGGTGGGCAGGGCTCGGGCTGGGACGCATCTGCACCCCGTTGCGGTTCTGCGTGTGGCCGTCTGTCGTGGTCTGAAGGGCGAGCTCCAGGCGCCTCTGCCCCGTGCTGGGCCCCACGGCAGACGCTGCTCCCCAGTCCCCACCCTGGCGGGTCTCCAGTGGCCACTGGCGTTGTGGCTCCCGTCCTTCTCCCGTGTCCCCTTGCATCTCTTTTTTCTAAGCCTGAGGCTGAGAGACAAGCCCCTGGAGGGACCTTTTCCTACTTGTGCTCGGTGCCAACATGAACCCGGGCTGACTGCACAGATAGAACGGTGCCTTGCGCCCGCCTCGTCCTCCTGACCATGAGGACATGAGACGCGTGTCCTCTGAGGGGCAGTGCGTCTCGTGCAGAGGGGCCTGCCGAGGAAGGCGAGATGACTTAGGCCAGCTCTGCACCTTCCGCAGCCGCCTGGGGAAGAGCTGAGTCTCGGGGGCCCCGGGTGCAGCAAAGGCAGGTAAACAGGCTGCCCCCGGTGCCCAGCACAGTGCCTTATGGGGGTTTGATGAGAAGCGTGTCGAGGTGGGTGCCCCAAGTTCTCACCCTGACAACAGATGGGGTGTCTGGGCCTGAAGGTCTCTCGCAGGCCTGCAAGCCCCAGAGGAACCCTGACGTGGGCTCCCTGGGGCGGGGCGTGCCGGCTTCCTTGTAAGGTCGTGTTACACTGAGGCCGCCAGCAGCACCTGGGCGAGAGAGCGAAGACCGCTGTCCCGCCTGGACGCAGGCTTCTGGCCGCAGGAAGGGTGCTCTCCACGCCTATGCCACCTCGTCTCCTCGCTCCTCTCCAGGGGCTGATGTGTGCATCTCGGTCACCAGCCTGGCCTCAGGCGGGCTGGGAGGACCGCGTGGGTGTGCCAGAGTGTCCTCGGGCTGGAGAGGGAGCCTGTCAGTTCCAGACTGTGTTCTGCTTCCAGACCCATGAGCCGCACCCTCCCCAGAGCAGTCCGGCCAGCAGTGTTTCCTTTGATCACAGCTTTCTGCCCCCTTTCTCTGCTCCTTCCCACTCTCTGTCTCCCTCCCGCCCAGCATTACAACAAGGATCTCACATATGCAGTCAGTTAATAGTGTGAGGAAGCCCGTTCTGAGCCTGCTTCGGGCAGCGAGTCGTCCTGCACGAGGTGACTCTCGTGTGCTTGCAGTTCCCCATATGGAGGACCAGCCACACCGTCAAGTGGGAAGGGGTGTGGCGGGAGCTGGGCTGCCTCTCCAGGACCGCGTCTTTTGCCGTCCGACAAGAAAGCGGCCACTCTCTGAAGTCCTCTCTCTCGGTAAGGATTTCCTTGTGCGAGTGGATATTTGGATGTTGGAAGTATCCCTCGTCAACACCGGGACGGATAGACAAGCGTCACAGATTGGGTGGCAGGAGTGGTGCGTCCTGGTCACTCAATTTATGGACGCTACCTATTTTTATTTTTTTAAATAACATTGGTGCTAACGGGCCAAGGTATGCCTAAGAGCCGACTGGAGCTTAGCTGGAAGTTGCTGAGCCAACCTTGGTTGGGGTGTCAAGCTCCTCGAGAGAAGGGACCCAGTGATGGGGCCCCAACCTGCCCCCTAATGAACAAGAACTGTTAGTCCCTTGCTCTCAGTTTCCTCTTGTGTAACATGGGGTGACGACCCTGCCTTCCTCACGGGGTCTTCCTAAAGATGTGTGATGTAAGGGTTCGAGTGCTCAGCACCATGCCTAGTGTGTAGTTAGCGCTCGGTGAGGGTTGCTATCTCGTGGACCTGTTTGAAATGAAAACGCCCCGGTACCAATTTCTTGCAGCACGCCATGGTCATCGACTCTCGGAACTCTTCTATCTTACCCAGAAGAGGGGCTTTGCTGAAAGTTAACCAGGTAGTGTTCCTTCCCCTGTGCCCCCTGCACGCTCGGGATGCTGGGGGTGGGGAGTCACGTTGTCTTTCTTTTTTTTAATCCTCACCCAAGGACATTTTTCCATTTTTTTGTTCAGATAGAGTGGGAGGGGGAGAGAGAGAAACATCAACGTGAAAGAGACACATCGAGTGGTTGCCACCTGCACGACCCAACCAGGGCCGGGGACAAACTGCAACTGAGGTACATGCCCTCAGTGGGAACCGAACCTGGGTCTCTCTGGACCACAGGCCAACGCTCTAACCACTGAGCCAAAGCGGGCAGGGTGGGAGTCACGTTTTAACATCGGCTGTTTCCCTTTCATTGTAAGAGTCATTCTAGGGTGGCTTGGAGGGTGTCGGTCTACTCTCAGGGTTCAGTCTGTTGCCTTCACCCAGAGCGAGCATGACCTCCAGCCTCTTTGGTGTCACTTACCAGGCCCAGGAGGAAGGTTGTGCTTTGGTGTGAGTGGTTTCCCACGAAAGAACTTAAAGCAGGGCTGGTAACACATGGGCCTGCAGGGCCAGGCCGCGGTGTCGGGCCAGGCTGGCCAGGCTGCGTGGGGCCTGCGGCTCCGTCTGCCTGATCTCAGTGTCAGGAGCCGCTGGACATCAGACACTGCAACGTGCCAGGCCGGGAAAGGGAAGGATTGGCAGGTTTTCTTCAATCGTTAACTGGGCCAAACCAGCCATATCAGCCACACACACTCTGAATGAGATGCTCCCGTTGCCAGCGTCTTGTTCTCACGTGGGACTAACGGACTCTGGATACTCAGTATGTTTGATGATTCTGTCCCAAGGCCCCCGGTACCACCTAGAACAAGCTGTTCACAGCTTCTAGGGGACAGAAGTGGTCTGTTGCTTTTCTAAAAATGCAAACAGCAGAGTGGAACGGTGGTTGCGGGGAGGTTGTTCAGTAACCTGTGTGGTGAGTCTGCTCCGCTTGACCGTGCTTCCTCCCCACAGGAGCTGGCCGGCTACACCGGAGGGGATGTGAGCTTCATAAAAGAGGACTTTGAGCTTCAGCTGAATAAACAGCTGCTACTTGACACGGTGAGTCCCTGGCCCGAGTGTTGTCACCTGCATTTCATGCCTGGTGTTTGGGCGCTCAGGTTCCAAGCGCCCAGAGCACAGAAGTGGAAGCCAGGACACGAGTGCTCAGCACCGCAGGGCTTGCTTTCTAGATGTCCCAAGGCCGAAGGTTCTCTGGGACAAGGCGTAGCTGTTCTCTTCGAAAGGGATCTGGGACCACTCACAGCAAGTCACAAGGCCGTAGGGTGCGCCTTCCTGACGTCACTGGGGTCAAGGAGCTGTGGCTGGAGGAAACCACCTCCCTCCCTCGTGTCACTTCCAGAGAAACGCGGAGCCTTCACCTTAGTCGGCCGGTCTTCAGGGCCCTGGGTGCTTCCAGCAATGTTTGTTTTTAGTCTCGCATCCACTTTGGTTCAGTTCCTTCCACTCACTCAGGAGTGAGGAGTAAGAGGCCAGATTCTGACTGGGCAGAGGAGCCCTGGCTCATCTCCAGTCTCCCCAGCCCCCAGGGGACTGGGGACAGGTCTCCGCCTTCCTCTGCTGCCTGTGCCCTCAGCTGCCTGAGAACTTGGGGCAAGGACTGAGTTTCGATGACGTGGCACAAGCGTCCTTGTAGACAGTTCACGCGAGGTTATTTCCCGTGGCTCCTGGCCCGTCCCGCACTGTCAGCCCTCGAGGCTGGTCCCAGCTCTCTGCCCTGCTCTTCCCCAGGCGTGAGCTCCCCGCCCCTTCCCTCCCCTTGCTGGCTCCGCAGCACCTGCTGCTGTCCCCAGCTGACCCGTCATGGCCACACTGCTTCCGCAGGTCGGCTCCTCTTCCTCGGGCCCTCGGCTCACCGCACGCCCACCTCCTGGGTGTCTCCCCAGGTTCTGGCAGAAGTTTCTGCTCTGCCTGCTGTCCCTGTGGCTCTGCCACCTGTGCGCCCCCGAGTGTGCCCACTCTCCTTCCGGGCCACAGACCCGTGTGCTCCTGTGCGTTCGACTCTGTTCCTTACAGACTTCAAATCCAACTTGTCCACACTGTTGCTTCCCTCCCGGAATCTGGGCCCTGCATCTGGGCTCCTGATCCCACTGACCTGCTCAGCCCTTCAGCCAGCTGCCCTTGACCTTCTCCCTGCTGCTCTGAGTGCTCCCCCTCGAAGCCTCCGAGCAGCAGGGCCTGTGTCTTCTCCCCTGCGCCGTCGCCTGTGTGCCGCTGCTGTCGCTCCGCTCACCCGGCAGTGATGTCGCTGTTTGCCGAGTCCCCCACCGCTCCCCTTCTCCACCCTGGGGACCTGACAGCTTCGATCTCCTGCGTCCAGCCTGTGCGGCCGGCACGGCGCCTGCAGCCTTGGGTCCCGTCGTGTCCCCCCTCCCCTGCCCCAGGCTCCAGCTGTGCAGAACTCGTTTCCCAGAGGGGCTGGGCTCCCTCTTGCTTCCTGGCACCTGCTCACTTGGCCTCTTGCTCCCTGCCTTGAAGACGGGCACAGGTGTGTCTCCTGCGGGCTTCCTCTGACCTCCCAGACCCAGGTGGTGGGGCTTCTCCGCTGTCCTAATACCGTGTTTAGCTCCAGGTATCACCCACCCACCCTCCCATCCACCTTCCCATCCACCTTCCCATCCACCACATAGATGCCGGCTGCCAGGCACTGTCTGCGCAGTAAAGCTATCTCAGCAACTGAAACACGGTTCCTGCTCTCACATTCTAGCGAAGGGAGGCCCACAAGCTAGTACCCGTGTATGTCGTTTGGCAGGTGTCATGAAGGATAGAACGTGGCCCAAAGGGGGTGCTGTCTTATTTGAGATAGTCAGGGAAGGTGTCTTTGGTAAGGCAGCATCTCCACACAGCCCAGAACAGGGTGAGGGGCCAGCCATCCATACGGGGGCAGGAGTGCCGGCAGGTTCCAGGAGCACTGGGGTGCTGTGACAGGGCAGGGTGAGGGGCAGCCATCCATACGGGGGCAGGAGTGCCGGCAGGTTCCAGGAGCACTGGGGTGCTGTGACAGGGCAGGGTGAGGGGCAGCCATCCATACGGGGGCAGGAGTGCCGGCAGGATCCAGGAGCACTGGGGTGCTGTGACAGGGCAGGGTGAGGGGCAGCCATCCATACGGGGGCAGGAGTGCCGGCAGGATCCAGGAGCACTGGGGTGCTGTGACAGGGCAGGGTGAGGGGCCAGCCTTCTGTACGGGGGCAGGAGTGCGGGAAGTTCCAGGACCATAGGGGCTGTGTGATAGGGCAGAGTTGCTGTCTCTCTCAGCCTGCTAGGGGTCGATGCAACACAATGAACTACAAGCAGACGCTGGTAGGAGTGAGGGGGAGCATCACAAGGGAGCAAATGCTCCAGATATCGATGTAGCCCAGTTTATTTGCAGAGTGGTTTCCCAAGTTACATGTGGATTTATGTAAATTATTTTGTTGAGATGACGTCTCTGCTGACCATACAGCCTCACCTTGGAGGTCCCAGGACCACCGGGGCTGTGTGACAAGGCACAGTGAGGGAACGGGGAGCAGCGGTGAGGGCAGAGGTGGGCCAGGAGCAGAGGCCCTTGAGGGTGGGGGCCAGTCCTCTCGTTTCCACTGAAATGGGGGCGGGGGCCATGGAACCTTCTGAGAGAGCCTGACGGTGTGGCACCTGTTTGAGAAGATGATCACTAGTGGCCAGTGGAGGGACAGGGGGGACAGTGGAGGCTCAGGAGACCAGTGGGCCTCGCTGGTGGTCAGGAGGCTGGGGACTGTAGCCTTGCAGAGGCACTAGCACGGGGAGCAGAGGGTGCACCTTGCAGAGGCACTAGCCTGGGGAGCAGAGGGTGCACCCCGCAGAGGCACTAGCACGGGGAGCAGAGGGTGCACCTCGCAGAGGCACTAGCCTGGGGAGCAGAGGGTGCACCCCGCAGAGGCACTAGCACGGGGAGCAGAGGGTGCACCTCGCAGAGGCACTAGCCTGGGGAGCAGAGGGTGCACCTCGCAGAGGCACTAGCACGGGGAGCAGAGGGTGCACCTCGCAGAGGCACTAGCACGGGGAGCAGAGGGTGCACCCCGCAGAGGCACTAGCACGGGGAGCAGAGGGTGCACCTCGCAGAGGCACTAGCCTGGGGAGCAGAGGGTGCACCTCGCAGAGGCACTAGCCTGGGGAGCAGAGGGTGCACCCCACAGAGGCACTAGCACGGGGAGCAGAGGGTGCACCTCGCAGAGGCACTAGCCTGGGGAGCAGAGGGTGCACCTCGCAGAGGCACTAGCATGGGGAGCAGAGGGTGCACCGTGTGGGCAGAGCTGGTACAGCTGGGGGGCTGGAGAAGGCGCGGCGGGTGCTGTCATGAGGTTTCTGAGCCTGAGAACAGAGTTGTGGTTTCCAGAGTTGGTGTTGACGGAGGAGCTGGGCCGAGGGCAAGGTGGGGTGGGGCCCCATTGAGCTGTTGAGTTGGTGGCGAGGTGGTGAGTGGAGTTGAGGGGGCGGTCAGACTGTGATGGACAGGCCAGGTGTCTGCATCTAGGTGGTGGCCACAGCGCCTGGCAGATGGCACCGCGGGTGTGGACAGAAGACAAGCTGTCTCTGGGCCGAGCCCTAGGACACGCGGCGCGGACATGGACAGGTCGGGAGGTGGCGGCCTGAGAGGGTGGGGGTCGGAGGGTGTGTGAGGGCAGAGAATGTGTCGAATGGTGCTAGGCACCCAGCTTGAGAGCCAGCCTTAGGGTTTGTCATGTGCTCACTGCGAACCTGGACAGACAGGACAGTCTCGGGGTGCGTGAAAGAGAATGGCTCCATGCAGTGGGATCAGGTCCTGCTCCCCGAGAAGAAGGACATTCCTGGAAAAGTGGTGGCTATCCGAAGCAAAAGCGACTTCTCTGTAAAGACAGTGGGAGGGATGAGAAGAGGAGGGAGGAGCCCTCCTGCGAGGGGGAGGAGGGGGAAGGGGTGGGGCGGGACTGCCAGAGGGGCGCGCTCAGCCGCCTGGGGCTGGCAGGGGTGACCAGGAGCCAGGTGAGGCCCGAAGCAGAGGGTCCTGACGCAGAGGAGGGCCCGGCTGGCCAGGAGCATGCGAGCTGCCTGCAGGAGGGCGGGGTGTGGGCGGAGAAGTGGGGGCGCTCGGGGGTCTGTCAGTGGAGGGCGGGGTGTGGGCGGAGAAGTGGGGGCGCTCGGGGTCTTGGGGGTCTGTCAGCGGAGGGCGGGGTGCGGGCGGACAAGTGGGGGCGCTCGGGGTCTCGGGGGTCTGTCAGCGGAGGGCGGGGTGCGGGCGGAGAAGTGGGGGCGCTCGGGGTCTCGGGGGTCTGTCAGCAGAGGGCGGGGTGCGGGCGGAGAAGTGGGGGCGCTCGGGGTCTCGGGGGTCTGTCAGCGGAGGGCGGGGTGCGGGCGGATAAGTGGGGGCGCTCGGGGTCTCGGGGGTCTGTCAGGGGAGGGCGGGGTGCGGGCGGAGCAGTGGGGGCGCTCGGGGTCTCGGGGGTCTGTCAGCGGAGGGCGGGGTGTGGGCGGAGAAGTGGGAGCGCTCAGGGTCTCGGGGGTCTGTCAGCGGAGGGCGGGGTGAGGGCGGAGAAGTGGGAGTCTCGGGGTTCTGTCAGTGGAGGGCGGGGTGTGGGAGGGGGTGTGGGGGCACTCGGGGTCTCGGGGTTCTGTCAGTGGAGGCGGAGGCGGTGCTGGCGTGTGGAGGGCAGGGCCAAGTTGGAGAGGGGCGAGCAGGGAGGGGAATGGGGGGCACAGCCAGGCAGCTCCCAGGGCCTGTCAGAGGCCAGAGTCCGGTTTAAAAGGAGCCACTGCATGTGGCATGTGCCCCTGCCCCGTGGCTGTGCAGGTCCAGCTGAGGGAGCGGAGAGGGGCGTTGACCAGACCTGGGGGTGGCCAGGTGAGACACAGGTGAGGCGAACGCAGGTGGGTGAGGTAGTGATGGGCCGTGGATTTCAGCTGGGGAAGGAGGGGATTGAGGACGTGAGAGGACTGGGGGGGGTCACAGTCCCCGTGGTGTAGAGGGATTGGGAGTTGGTGTTTGAGGGGTGACTGGGTCACTGAGGTCAGCAGGGATGTGGGGCAGGCTGGGACTATTTTCGGTGTGCAGTAAGTTCTAAGGCCTGCTCTCGGGCCAAGGGTGATGGTTCGAGGGAGGAGGACAGGAGAACCAGGGGCTCTGCCTCCTGCGATCTGCTGACATCGGGCCTGCGAAGCCATCTTACGACGATGCCTGGGCCCTGCCAGGTGACCCGCTCCGGTTCCCTTCTTGCTCCTGTCCAGAATGGTGTGAGCGGGTGAGGGGCCCTCCCAGAGCATTCGGAGCTCTGGCCCCTCGCTTCTCTCGGTAGCATCTCTGGGACGCCAGGCTCAAAGTAGCCGTGTCCATCAGAACAGACTGTCCAGTGTGGCCCCCTCTGCCCGCTGCCCATCCTAGGACTCACCTCTGACCCTTCTTACAAAGCTCCAGAAAGGAGGTGTCCGAGCTGCTTTGAAGGACAGAGGAATGTGCATGTCAGAGAGAGGACACGAGATGAGCAAGAAAACTGTGCTCAGGAGATATGGGGGTCAGTGCCAGGAAGACGGGGTGAGATGAGCCTAGAGAGCTGTGGTGGCTTGAGGGGTTGTCGGGCAGGTTTTGTGCGGCGTGTTACGTGGGCGTGAAGATTGGGCCATGCCCCTGACCTGTTCTAGAGAGTGCTCTGTCTCTGAGGTCGGGTGGGGAGCTGCGTGTCTCCGCATTTCTCAATTTAGGAGCATCGTAACCTCTGCCTGCAATGCTGCGTGCCCTTCGTCCTCCATCGTTTTGAGGCCAAGTCAGAGCGACCTGGGCTGGGGCAGAATCCCTTGCTGGCCTGGTCTCCCTTCCCTGTCAAGTATGCTGTCCCACTGTGTCGGAGTGGAAGCTAGGCCCTCCCTGGGGTTTGGCTTGTTTCTTGTTTGTGTTTGGTGTATCTTTATCTGATATTTGGAGGTGCAGTTTGTTAAAGTATTCACAAAACACTGAGGACTGGTTCTTCAGCTGCACGAGCCTGATGGTCTCCAGTAGCCTGTGCCCCTCCCGGCCTCTTCCCCACAGCGGCCAGGGGCCAGGTCTCCTGCACCTTGTCTGCTGAGGCCCATGGCGGTGAGAGCCCCTGCGAGAAAACGGTTTGTTTCTATTTCAATAGGTCTTTTCAGCGTCTCTCTGGGGCGGAATGCTGGTCCCCATTGGTGATAAGCCATCAAGCATTGCAGACAGGTGAGTGCTAACTGGGTGGGGCGGGTCATCGCAAATGCTTTCCTTTGGTTTTTTGGTTGGTTTCTTTTAAGCTATTTGGAGAAGTTGACTTAGGAGAGCAGATATTTCAAATTTGAGGTTTTAAGGTATAAGTTAATTTCAAAATACCCAGCATACCTCATGCTTAATTTTTTGTCTTTTTTGGGGGAGGGAGTTAACTTTATTAAAGAGTTTGTATTCTGTTTTGAGTATGAAAGAATACAGTTCATACACGTTGCAGAAATATAAAAACAAACATTTAAGGAAGCATAAGAACAGCCCTGCTCAGTGATAAACAGTTTGCATCTGGGACGACTTCCTTTCTGTTTGTCTTTGTGGACGTGTGTTTACACCTGTGATTTTTTTTTTTTAATCCTCACCTGAGGACATTTTTGCATTTATCTTCAGATAAAGCGGGAGGGAGAGAAGGAGGAAGAGAGAGAGAGAAACATTGATGTGAGAGACACATCGAGTGGCTGCCACCCACACGACCCCAACCGGGGTTGGGGACAAACTGCATCCGAGGTATGTGTCCTTAGCAGGAACCAAACCCAGGACTCTCTGGTCTGCAGGCTGACACTCAAACCGCTGAACCAAACTGGCCAGGGCTATACATGTGAATTTATATGCACGTCTGTGTTAAATTGTTGATATATTGTATTTTGGATACAGATTTGTGTTCTCCCTGCTTTTTGTTTTTTATTTTATTCTTTTTTTAAATCCTCACCCGAGGACATTTTTGCATTTATCTTCAGACAGAGCCGGAGGGGGAGGACAGGGAGAGAAACATCGATGTGAAAGCGACATCGACTGGTTGCCACCCACACGGCCCCAACTTGGGCCAGGGACAAACTGCAACTGAGGTACGTGCCCTTAGCAGGAACCGAACCCAGGTCTCTGGTCCATGGGCCAACGCTCTAACCACTGAGCCAAACTGGCCAAGGCTCTCCCTGCTTTTTAAAACGTTTTAAAGAATTGTAAACCGTTCCCCAACTCATGAGAAATTTTTCATGAGCAGCATTTTAATGCTTCTTTGTTTGCACATCAGTGACACTGTGAAAAATTTGATTTTGTAAATAATTTTTGTTCGTTTTTTCCCCCTGAGATTTCTAAATGTGAAATTCCATCTCAAAAGCACAGGATTTCTCAGCCTGATGAAGAGGCGGGAGCCGCCTGCTAGAAGCGGGTCGCAGGTGGTGCTCCCGCCAGCAGGGTGCGCAGTTGTCCTCGCTGCTCTGAAGTCCGAGGAACTTCCCGCCAGCAGGGTGCGCAGTTGTCCTCGCTGCTCTGAAGTCCTAGGAACTTCCCGCCAGCAGGGTGCGCAGTTGTCCTCGCTGCTCTGAAGTCCTAGGAACTTCCCGCCAGCAGGGTGCGCAGTCGTCCTCGCTGCTCTGAAGTCCGAGGAACTTCCCGCCAGCAGGGTGCGCAGTTGTCCTCGCTGCTCTGAAGTCCTAGGAACTTCCCGCCAGCAGGGTGCGCAGTTGTCCTCGCTGCTCTGAAGGCCGAGGAACTTCCCGCCAGCAGGGTGCGCAGTTGTCCTCGCTGCTCTGAAGTCCTAGGAACTTCCAGCGAGAGGCGCCTCCTTTAACCTTGCCCGAGTTAACTGCTTTAGCTCAGCCTTGTTCAGCCTTTTTGGACGGCTGTTTGGAAGTATAATATTTTTTAAATTTCTAAACTCTGGGACCTAATAGTTTCACCTTCCACAAATACAATGTACAGAAATACACTTAGAAGTGTACGAAGATTGTTATGTGCAAAGGTGTCCATTGTAGCATCGCTGATAATAGCAGAAATGTGAAAACTGCCAGGAGGGAGTGGATCAGACCCCAACACCGCCGTCAGGAGGGAGCCGGTGTGAGCATGAAAAGAAAGCGATTCGGTCTCCAGGAGACTCGCCCTGCAGCTGTGCATCTTCTCGCGGGGGAAGTGCTCTCCCCGCGGCCCAGCCCTGGGCAGAAGCTCCGCGCGCTCTGCACTTGCCTTGGTCTCGAGACCCCCACCCCCGGGCTTTCCTCTGACGTCTGCTCTGTTCCAGGTTCTACCTCGGGGGACCGACCAGTGTGCGCGGCTTCAGCATGCACAGCGTTGGGCCACAGAGTGAAGGTCTGTCCCCGCCGGGCCCCACACCTCAGCTTTGAAAGGATGTGTTTGTTTAAATGACCTCAGTGGTAGTGGAATTAACACCTAGCGTAGCAGCTACCATACGGCAGGCCTGGAAAGATGCTTGTTAAGGGAACTGTAGGAAAACAATATACCCAAGCAAAAGGCACAAGACCTGTGGTGCTGGTTCCCCGTGGTGACGTGTGAGCGTGTGTGTGGACGTGTGTCTTTATGCTCACATCTTGTTCTGTGTACGTACTGTTTCTCCCACCAGCAATGCCATGGGGAGATGTTTATAGGAATAAGTACTTTGTCATTTAAAATGACTGCTTATTTCATCTTCTTGACATGCTGTACTTTAAAAAAATTAATAGACGTTATTAGAGAGTAGTCTAGGTTTGTAGAAGAACTGAGCAGGAAGGACGGCGTTCCCGGTGGTGCCCACAGCGCCCTCTGTCAAAAGTACGGCATTCCCGGTGGCCCCCAGCCGCTGACGTCTGGCAGTGGTGACCACACTGCGGTGATGCTGAGCTGGTGTCCGTGCGTTATCACCAATGACACCCCGCAGTGCGTGCGTCGTGGCACAGAGCCACCAGTCCAGGGTCACACACAGGTGCCACTGCCCAGAGCCCACTGCGCCACCTGCTCCTGCGTTCCACCCCCAACTCCTGGCAGCCACTGACCTTCTTACTGTCTCCCTAGTTCTGCCTTTTCTAGAAAGTCCTTTGGAATCACGCCATGCGTGGCCTTTGCAGACTGGCCTCTTTGACTAAGGGACGTGCATTTGATGTTCCTCCGAGTCTCTTGATAGCTTGATTGCTCAGATGTTCTTGTCACCAGGTAGCATTCCACACAGTAGTCCAGTAGGGAAGGCTCCGCTCTGGCAGCTTGCTTGTGCCTGCGCCTGCTGAGGACGTCTGGGTCGGTGCCAGACAGCCAGCCTGCACCAGGGCCAGGGCGGTGAGGCTTTCCTGTGCAGGCGCGCGTTTGGGTGTAAGGTTTCAGTTCATCCGGATAAATGCCAATTGCTGAGTCATGTAAGAACCTAGCCGACTGTCTTCCAATGACTCTGCCGTTTTGTATTCCCACCAGCAGTGAATCAGAGATAAGAATAGAGTGCTTTAATATTACTTGGTATCGGTTTCAGGCACACAGTGTTAGATGATCATACTTTATGAAGTGTCCCCCGATATTTCCAGTGCCACCTGGCACCATCCACAGTTATTACGGTGTCATTGTAACGGCTTCGTATTTTCTCCCGTTGCCGTACTTAAGTCTTTTAAACAAGCTTCAAGTCAGACATTTAGACTGTTTTTTTCCTTTTGATCATGAAACAGTGTATCCGTGAATAACGTAGCTGAGTCTTGGTGTCCATCTGTGACTTATACTTTGTCACCTGATGTAGTGGAGTTGCTGGGGGAAGGAGTTGCTTGGAGGCCACGCTGCTCCCGGTGGGTGTGTCTCTGTCTGCTGCGCGGGGAGGGGAGGCCTGCTCCCCGGAGCCCCTCCAGCACTCTCCCTGTGGCAGAGCCCCTCCGGCACTTGCCCTGCGGCGGGGCCCCTCCGCACGGTGAAGCGCTTCCAAACCACCTCAGTGATGCATCTCCACTGTAAACATCTCCCCTGATTTTCTGTTTTTTAATATCTTTGTGGCTTTGATTTTATATTTTTATAAATAATGATTGTCCCATGCAGACATTTTTGTACAAAATATAGATTTTTTTCATTCGTTTTTAGAGTGCTTTACCAGCGTGTCATTTTCTTAGGAAAGTGACATAATTCATGGATAGTTTGTTGTTGTGACTCAGCACTGTGTGTGGCTCTGTGACAGTGCAGGAGTCTGCACTGGCCTGGAAACGAAGACACAGTGTGATGCCACTTACTCAGGTCTCAGGCAGCCCAGTGCTAAGGCCCTAGGGGCCAAAGTAGATTGTTGCGGCTTTTCATGAAGGCAATTTGACATTATGTATCATGAGCCTAAAATATATACTTGCCGGGGCTTTTAATAATGCCCTCCAACTGAAAACTGGAAACCCAGATGCCCATTGACAATAGAAGGAGTCAGTAAAGCGTGGTTTTGGCACATGTGGAATATTATACGGCAGTGAAGATGAACAGTCTCAGCCACTGGCTGAGTGATGGCAGGAGCGAACCTCAGAAACAAGGAGCCTGGCCCAGGGGATGCGCACTCTTTGAGTCCATGTCTGTGAGGCGTGGGGACAGCTAACCCGGCCTGTGCAGCGACGACAGGGCTGTGCTTGCACTCGGTGGGGGTGGCGGGCCGTGACTGCGGAGAGCCGGGCCCTCGGGCTGCACACCCTTTTCTTAATCTGGGTGTTGATGTGTTTGTGTGTGGAAGCTACTGAGCTATACGCTCAGGACGTATGTACTTTTGTACATACATATATATGTGTGTACGAGGAAACTCATCATAGGTTAATGCCCGCTATCAAGAAATTAGACACCAGTGTGACAATAGGTGAGGGATAGATAATTGCATTGTGGTATGTATAAGGGCTTACTCAGGCACCGGCCCCACATTTTCACAGGGCGTAAGGTGTTCAGGAAAAGTGCTTACATCCTATTAAACTAAGAAGAATGGAAGGACTGTAAGCTCTCTCTGTATATAGAAAATAGCTCACATTATTTTCTTATTTATAATGATTCGTTATCATTCACTGGATAAAAGACATCAGGATGTTAGTTATCTTTGAATGGAAGAAGTGAAAGACTTTTTTCATTTTTCTACTTCCCTGTATTTGTCAGATTTTCTGCAGTGAGGCTGTTACTTTCTGATTAGATAAAGAGAGATGGGCAGTTGCTGGGAAACAGAACACAGGCACCATCAGCCTCGTGCTGTCTGTCCTGGCTTTGTTCCTTAGCACTTCGCTATGAAGGGACCCGGGAGACCAGAGTCTTGGCAAGTCAGCGGTTCATTCCAAGAGCTAATCTCGGAGACAGCCACCCTTCCTTTTCATGGTTTGTCATTTTGTAGCGAAAGTACTAAGACAGTTTACAAACTGTATTTCGCACCAAGTATAAATATTTTAGGGGTTAGTGTTTCTTTGTTTTTTGTCACTTTAATGCTTTGGCTGTTTGCAGTTAAAATGGAACGGGTGGGGGCATGTGTGCCCTCGGTGGACAGTCACAGCACCACTTGGCTCCTTAAGAAGCAGCCTCTTCTCTAGCCACCGAGCTGGGACGCGGCTTCCTCACACAGGGAGGGGTGGGCCCTGTGCCTGTGATTCATAGCGTGGACAGCCGCTTCCAGGAGGTGCAGGTCCTGCCTCTCGTGGCCTTGGAATGTGTGCGAAGTACCGCACTTCGTTTGCCGGGGGAGGGGATGCAATCAGCACCTGGGGAAGGCGGTTGCCGTGAGGCCACGGGTTTGATTCCACGCACTTGGTAGATGGGACACATTTCTGGTTTCACTCTTTTCTAAGCCGCACTAGCATACCTGTCCAGGGAAGGCGGAGTGTAAAATAAACCGCGAGAAAGAAAGCTCACTTGCAGGGGGGCCATCGCCTCCGAGCTAGAGGAGCGGCTGAGGCCCGAGCGCTGGGCCGTGTGCGCAGCGCACCTGCGTGTGAATCGTGGGCGCGAGTCGTTCCCCATTTGTGTGACCTTGTCCTGTTCTGCCCGGACCAGGCGACTACCTGGGCGGCGAGGCGTACTGGGCCGGCGGCCTGCACCTGTACACCCCGCTACCTTTCCGGCCGGGCCAGGGCGGCTTCGGAGAGCTTTTCAGGACACACTTTTTCCTCAACGCGGGAAACCTCTGCAACCTCAACTATGGTAAGTCGGGCTCTTTGGAAAGCTCTGTGGTGCAGGGGACGGCATGTTTAAAAGCACAGTACCGACAGGTGTCTTTGAGATTATGTCGTCTTTAAGTTTAAGGACTACACCTTAAAAAAATTCCTACGGCACCTGGCACCGTGCCCAGAATAAAGCTGTCGGCTGAGTGAATGGGACACACGTGAAAGTGGTCATCGAGTGCGGTGTTGCAAAGAAGAATCTACTCATTTTCTCAAGAGACATGTCTTGACCACCTGTTGTCTGCCAGTCATTAAGGCTGTCGTTTGGCCCTGGGCCGGAGGAGACCACAGGGACGTGTCCAGCTAGGGGTCGTGAAAAGGTGTTTGGAACGCCGCACAGAACACAGGCCCTCACACTGACCTTTGGAGCAGGGCTTCCCTGGGGCCAGGGGAGGGGCCTGGCCTTCGGGCACAGGATGTGCGGGGCTCAGCTGAGAGGCGAGGCTTCTGGGACCGGGAGAAGCATGCTCCCGCCTCTCTGTCTCCATCCTGATCCCACCTCACGCTTGTCCTCGAGCACCTTGGCCTGGCCTGAACTGCCCAGGGCACAGCAAGCCAGAGCCCGGAGGCCGTGTTGGAGGGAGGACGGGCCCGCACACCCTGGTCACGCCCTCCTTTCTCTTTCCAGGGGAGGGCCCCAGAGCTCATATTCGGAAGCTGGCTGAGTGCATCCGCTGGTCCTACGGTGCGGGGATCGTCCTCAGGCTGGGCAACATCGCCCGGCTGGAGCTTAACTACTGCGTCCCCATGGGGGTGCAGTCGGGGGACAGGTAGGTGCCGGCAGTTCTCCACAGTCCCATTGCACTTCTCGTGATTTTACTTCGTATCGGACGTGTTCCTCATCTCATGGGTGGCCTTTGAGATTCAAGATTTTAGGAGAAATTGAAGAGTTGGCAAAAGATTGAAAATGTTAGTATTTTCCTCCATTGGGTTTTCTGTCTGGTTTGGAGGAAAATCTGTGATGTGTCCTGCACCTCACACTGCTTGACCCACTTGCCAGGGGGCCGCAGGGACAGACAGGCCTCAGCGATCCTGCTTGCTGGGCACCGCGGGTGTTGCCAGTGGGGACTGTGTCGGCCGGGGACTCGGAGGTCGAGGGGCAGAGCTCCGCTCTGGGCCGCAGAGGACGTGCTCCCCAGGCTTCTCTCGGCAGCAGCGGGACCCACCTCCTTGGACTGGCTCCGTCAGTAATCACCTCACTGAGCCAGGTCTGCTGGAAATGGCGTGAGTGGGCCTAGTGTGGGGCCACTGGCAGCTGCAGAGATTGATCCCAGGTGCTGTGCTATTCGGTGTGCGTGAGGATTCTCAGACACCCAGAAGTACTGTCGCTGCCGCGTGTCAGCCAGCTCGGCTGCTGTGACGATGCAGCTCGGGACGTGTTCACGTTCTCCCTGTTCTGGAGGCGGGAGGGCCAGGGCCGCGTGTCAGCCAGCTCGGCTGCTGTGACGATGCAGCTCCGGACGTGTTCACGTTCTCCCTGTTCTGGAGGCGGGAGGGCCAGGGCCGCGTGTCAGCCAGCTCGGCTGCTGTGGTGATGCAGCTCCGGACGTGTTCACGTTCTCCCTGTTCTGGAGGCGGGAGGGCCAGGGCCGCGTGTCAGCCAGCTCGGCTGCTGTGGTGATGCAGCTCGGGACGTGTTCACGTTCTCCCTGTTCTGGAGGCGGGAGGGCCAGGGCCGCGCGTGTCAGCCAGCTCGGCTGCTGTGACGATGCAGCTCCGGACGTGTTCACGTTCTCCCTGTTCTGGAGGCGGGAGGGCCAGGGCCGCGCGTGTCAGCCAGCTCGGCTGCTGTGACGATGCAGCTCCGGACGTGTTCACGTTCTCCCTGTTCTGGAGGCGGGAGGGCCAGGGCCGAGCCGCCGCTGATTTGGTCCTGGGGCCACGTGGCTGCCTGCTCGCTGTGTCCTCACTCAGCAGAGAGAGAGCAGGCGAGCTCTCTGCTCTCTCTTCTTACTAGGACACGCACCACCTCGGGGACCCCACCTTCGTCACCTCATCTAAGCCTAATTACCTCCCAGAGGCCTGCCTTTCATGGTGGGAGTTAGGGCTTCAGCATATGCACGTAGGGGGACACAGACATTCCCTGCATAACGTGGTGTTTGACATCTCGTCCCCTGCGTTTCTGGGTTGTACTCCGGGCTGTGCTTAATTCTTCATTCCGTGCGCCCTTGCACCTTGCACTGGTGGTGCCGGCTGAGTCATGGCCTGCGTCAGCGTCGGGCTGTTGAAGAAGCACTAGACCATGGTCTTCTGCCTCCCTGTGGTGGGTGAGGGCGCTTTTTAAAGGGGAGCCTCATTGGTGAGCTTTTACTGAAGCGTGAGCACGTGCTGCAGTGCTGTGTCTGTTGTCCAGGTCATGGCCGTCCACGTAGCAGCCTCTGCCGCTTTCACTCCCTCTGGAAGGCCGGTGAGGTCCTGTCCCGGCTCCCGGTGCTGCCAGAGCCCCTCCTCCAGCCTGCAGACAGCAGCTGCTCGGCCCTCAGCTCACCTCCAACCCCGCCTGCTCTCCGCAGTGCAGAGGCCGAAAGGGCCCAGCCTGGCCACGCTGAGGGACCCAGGGTGAGTCCCTAACCCGGCAGTGGGCAGGGCCCTGACTGCTCTGCAGGCTCGGGGCAGAGGGCGTGCACACCCAGGAGGCGTTGGCACACGTCGGGTGCCGGCAGGGACCTGGTCATTTCTCAGGCTGGTGTCGCTTGTGGTGCAGTCGCCATGGCCAGCTTTTCTCCAAGGAAACCGCTCCTTCCGAGGCATCCTCCCCGCTCAGGCCCCTGTGCGGCGCCGCCTGCCGGCTGTGTGGACACAGGCCTTGCTGGCTCTTGTGTCCTGATTGCAGAGACAGTGGAATATGAAAGACCGGACACTTTTCTAGAGCAAATTTTGGGCCTTGGGTAATTTTTTAGCAAAGTATCAACAAACCTTTATACTCTTGGGTAAGTGAAGCTGGCAAGTTGCTTTCTGGAAGCCTCTTCCCACCACAGGTGTGAGTGCGGGTCTCCCGGTGTAACAGCAGGTGCTCGTTGGATCTGTGCAGGGAGCAGCAGAGGTGCCCGCTGGTGAAGTCAGACAGGTGTGAGTGCGGGTCTCCCGGTGTAACAGCAGGTGCTCGTTGGATCTGTGCAGGGAGCAGCAGAGGTGCCCGCTGGTGAAGTCAGACAGGTGTGAGTGCGGGTCTCCCGGTGTAACAGCAGGTGCTCGTTGGATTTGCGCAGGGAGCAGCAGAGGTGCCCGCTGGTGAAGTCAGACAGGTGTGAGTGCGGGTCTCCCAGTGTAACAGCAGGTGCTCATTGGATTTGTGCAGGGAGCAGCAGAGGTGCTCGCTGGTGAAGTCAGACAGGTGTGAGTGCGGGTCTCCCAGTGTAACAGCAGGTGCTCGTTGGATCTGTGCAGGGAGCAGCACAGGTGCCCCTGAAGTGCCGTTGGTGAAGTCAGACATGGGCGACACAGCCATCAGAGCCTCCGAGTCTCAAACTGCCACTTGCCTCCGACCCCCCGGGCTGTTGGCAAAGGCAGGTCCTGATGCCGTGGTCTGGGTGGGCCTCGAACTGAGCACTGCTAACTCGCGGCCTGTGAAGCTGAGGCTGTGTGCCAGCCGTGCTGGGGGGGGGGGGTGCTGGCGACTCCGTGTCCCTTCTGAAGCCGTCACAGTTCCAGGGAGGGAGGGCTCGTGGTGCTCGTGGTGCCGGCCGCGTGAGAGGCCGAGCTGCACTGGGTCTTGTCCTGTGTGTGAGCCTCCCGGCTGCCCTGGGGGCCGAGGAGGAGCGGAGGCTCGCAGTGCTGCTGTCAGGTCAGGCGGGGCTGCGTCCCCTGTGCCCCAGCATGAGCCGACCAGCCCCGCCTCCGCTCCTCGAGAGCTGAATGCAGGGCGCCTTGCTGCCCCCGCCCTCACTGGGTTCTTCTGCGCCTCAGCTCAGCCGGGAGAGCAAAGGAGCTCTCTTCTCACCGACCTTGCCAGAGCTGACTGTCCAGCTAACTCTGTGCTGACCCGTCTCAGAAAAGACACAGGCTGGCGCCAGGACGAGCAGCCGCCGTTCTCCGACTGTGTCGACTCTCAGTCCAGCTGCACAAGGACGTGCACTGGACACGTTTTATTGCAGAGAGCACCGGCGTGCTCTGGGGTCTGCTGCGGCTCTGTCAGCTCCGCCTCTGGGGTGCTGCCGCGCCTCTCGGCTGCCTGGCGAGCGCAGAGGACGGCGGGCCTGGCCGCCAGCCCCTGCCTGGTCACTCCCTGGCCACTCCCTGGCTGTGGGACTTGGGGCACGTCCAGAAGGCTCTGGGCCTCCGGTCCTTCAGACTGGAAGGTGGGGTGCAGCTCCCCAACTGGGCTGCACTGTGGCTGAGGCCGCTGGATGTCACTGTGCCCTGTTAAGTCAGTACTGCTGCTGTAGGGAGCCCAGCTGAATCGACCCTTCTCCCGTAATCTGTACAGAGGAGGCCCCAGGTCACCTTTTCAGCTTCGCATCCCTCTGCAGGTTAAACTGGAAAACTGTTTTAGAGACGAATTTCAGTGTGTTTCTTCTGAAAGGAAGAAACCTGCTGTGTGCATGGCATTTGGGGACCGGAACGGACGGCAGCTCCGTCTGGAGGCGCAGGGAACAGGCACTGTGACAGCCTGGCGCGGGTCCGCGGTGCCCTCCGCGCTGGCCCACCTCCACCAGCGCGCCGTCAGCACGGGGATCGCTGACGTTGAGTGATGCTGTCAGAATTTAATGCTCATTTCTGAAATTCGGCAGCTGCCAGACTGGGGAATCATATGTGCGCAAATCAGAGATGCCGGCATCTCTGATTAGGGTCTCAGACCCTACAGAAATGGGAACAGCTGTGAAAGGTTCGCTGGCCTGTGTGGGAGGTGACTGGCCCGTCGTCTCTGAGGTCTCACGGCTCTGTCATCAGGGTCTGGCCGAGTGCGGCCTCCGGGGCCCGGCGCTGAGTGAGGCGGGCGGCGCCCAGTCAGTGACGGAGGAGCGCGAGCGGACCGTCTCCGCGGGAAGGCGCGAGCGCCCTGCGCAGTGCGCCGTGTGTGCGGTTGGAAGGGGCAGGCAGAGCCGCCACAGTATTGATTTTCTGCCCTTTTTCTAGGATATGTGATGGCGTCCAGTTCGGAGCGGGGATAAGGTTCCTGTAGCTGCCGCAGAGCGTCCTCCAGCCCTTCTGGGAGAAGCTCTGGGACGTGGCGGCAGCGTGTCCCTGGCACCACGCGTGTTCTCTGCAGAAGCACATGCCAGCGGTCCCCTGACCGCAGCCTTGTGGGAATCATGTCAATAAATTTTCAAGCCAAACATTCGGATGCACTGTGGCTATGGTTTGCTCTCCCGGGCAGGGTGACCCGCTGGCTCCCCCTGGGGCCTGGGATCTCGTGTGTGCCTCCCCAGACGGCGTCCCGTCGGACAGACCCAGCCCCTCTCCTCCCCAGACGGCGTCCCGTCGGACAGACCCAGCCCCTCTCCTCCCCAGACGGCGTCCCGTCAGACAGACCCAGCCCCTCTCCTCCCCAGACGGCGTCCCGTCGGACAGACCGGTCCCTCTCCTCCCCAGACGGCGTCCCGTCGGACAGACCCGGTCCCTCTCCTCCCCAGACGGCGTCCCGTCAGACAGACCGGTCCCTCTCCTCCCCAGACGGCGTCCCGTCAGACAGACTGGTCCCTCTCCTCCCCAGACGGCGTCCCGTCGGACAGACCCGGTCCCTCTCCTCCCCAGACGGCGTCCCGTCGGACAGACCGGTCCCTCTCCTCCCCAGACGGCGTCCCGTCGGACAGACCGGTCCCTCTCCTCCCCAGACGGCGTCCCGTCGGACAGACCCGGTCCCTCTCCTCCCCAGACGGCGTCCCGTCGGACAGACCCGGTCCCTCTCCTCCCCAGACGGCGTCCCGTCGGACAGACCCGGTCCCTCTCCTCCCCAGACGGCGTCCCGTCGGACAGACCCGGTCCCTCTCCTGTCCAGACAGCCGCATCTGTTCAGCTCCACGTGTGGGCGCTCAGCAGTGCCCTGGGGGAAGCTGGCTCAGAGAGGCGCGTGCTGGCCCAACGCGCGGGCGATGGCGGCTGTGGTCACCGTGCCACCTGTGTGAGTCACTGAAATGCGAGGGGCAGAAAGGAGAACATGTGACGTTAGGGACACTGAAGCAAAGCAGGGGCGTGTGCCCTCTGGAGAGAGGTGGCTGGGTGAACTGGACCGGTGGGGGTGCCAGGCTCTGGCCGCTGCCCTAGCACACCGCTGCCCACCGGTGGCTCGAGGTGGCACCGAGCGGTGGTGTCCGTCGGGGGGCAGAAGTCCAGGATGGGTCTCCCTGCTGAAACCGCAGTGTGGCAGTGCCAGTCCGTCCTGGTCGCTCTAGGGGAGAATCCGTTCGTGGCCTCTTCCCGTTCCGGAGGCACCCACCTTCCTTGGCCGGTGGCCCCGCCTGGCATCCTCCGTCTCCTTCACAGTCTGCCTGTCCGTCCTCCTGTGCCCCTGTGAACATGCCGGGCCCCCCAGTAGTCTGGGCCGCGCCCCTCGTGCGGTCATCAGTGCTCTCTGCAGCCTTTCGTCCCCTGGCCACGTCTGGGACATCGTCACAGGCTCCAGAAATGAGAATGGACGTTGGGGGGGGGGGGCACTACTCTCTCTAACACACCTGGTGTCTCTTAAAGTCATGTTTTGGGGTGTACTTAGTCACACGTGGGGAAAGTTTTGTTCTTTTTCTTTCTTCAAGTTAAGTTTCTTCTGCATCCTCAGGGGAAAATGGTGTCGTGTACAGATGTCCAGGGTTCAGGTGCTGCTTTACTGCGGGGTTTCTTTCCCTCTCCAAGCGGGGGCTGCGGTCCCGTCACTCTGTCCTCCTGTGACCTGTCGTGCGTGTCTGCCGAGTGAGCTTGGGGTTCAGGGACAGCTTCAGTCCAAGGACCCGCACCGTCTGGGTCGAGCCCGCCGCCCCCGAGGTCTGTCTCACCCTTATCGCATGAGCCCCAGGGACTTTGCACAGAACATGTAGGGAGAAAGTTTTACTTTCTTAATAATGGGGAACATGGGGAACTAAACGCTCCCCCTGAATAGTGTGCTTTCAGTTTTGCATGTATGCCTTTGGCCAGATAAGAAGCCCATGTAGTAACCCTGGCGAGTTCAGACCCTGAAGATTGAGAACAACAAATCCGTATAGCACAGTCTCAGACACGTGGCCTCTGAGAATCCGCCTACCAGGTTAGCAGAGAACGCGTCCTTCCAAAGAAGGAGTCGTGTGTGCAAAGGTGCGTGTTTAATCAAGTGGGGCTGGGTTATCCGGTCGCTGCTGGGGCTCCTTAACCAAAGCGAACCGGGACCCTGCCCCCCGGGGTGAGACGTGTCCCCGGCAGGAGGACTCCGCAGGCTGCCCCTCGGAATTCTGCTCGTTCTCAGGTGCACGCAGTGGGCAGGGAGAGCGTCGAGCCAGCGCACTGGGCACCGTGCCCCTGTGAAGGCCAAGCTGGCTGTGGGCAGTGGCCCTTCGTCGCTGCCACTTCAGAGCCTCGGATGTGGCGGGAAGGTCGGAAAAGCGAGAGAAATCCCTCCACCAGGTTCCACCTCGCCGCAGCGAGTCCTTGCATCTTAATTCCACTCCAGTTTTCTCTAGGTACTGAGCATCGGGGCCGGAACAGTTTGATATTTGTGTGATTAACCTCTTGTTCCACTCTGCAGTGAGCGGGCCCCGGAGCCAGCCTTTGTTCCCACGAGAACGCTGACGCGCCCCGGGCTGGTCCATCATCTTCCATCTGCAGCAGGAACTGAGGTGAACCTAATTTTCACGGTGCTCGTGAAGGAAAACCCACCGTGACATGAACTCACGGTCTCCCACGACTGCGGGGCCTTACCTGTGGCTTCGTGGGGAGAGAGAGCGCCCCCACCCCGCCTCGGCCGCGCGCACCTGGCTGCCGTCTACAGGCCCCAGAACCAAGGGCAGTGGAGGAGGCCGCACCAGGGGGATGGGCCACCCGGGCGTCCCGCACACCTGCAGCTCTGCAGGCCCAGTGATTTCTGAATTTGCTTTTTATTTTTTTTAAAGGCCAGATAAACGTGTTCCCAGGGCAGTTAGTGTGCTCACGTGCATCGTCTGTTTCAGGCTCACCACGGAGGAGGGAAGAGAGGATTCCTTAGTCTGGAGAATGGTGTTTAAAATCGGGGGACCGCGCTCAAAACTCACCTTTCACCCTGGCCGGTTTGGCTCAGCGGTTAGAAGGTCGGCCCGCGGACCGGAGAGTCCCGGGTTTGGTTCCCACTAAGGGCACGTACCTCAGTTGCAGTTTGTCCCCGGCCCCGGTTGGGGTTGTGAGGGTGGCGACCACTTGATGTGTCTCTCTCACATCCATGTTTCTCTCTCTCTTTCCCCCCCCCTCTCCCTCCCGCTTTATCTGAAGATACATGCAAAAATGTCCTCGGGTGAGGATAAAAAAACAAACAAAAACTCAACTTTCTAGCTCCTCTTAAACAGTTGGTTCTGGAAACAGGCTTCTTTTCTCCCCGCAGCCAAGGGCTGGAGCTGGAGAGGGTGTTCCTTCAGCTGGTGTCACAGGCCGGCTCTGGGTGCGTCGCTCGTCTGCGTGCCCCTGCCTGCGGCCGATGACAAGAGGGAGTCTCTGAGCGTGTCCCAGGAGTAGGCGAGTTTGGGAGGATAACGGAGCAGGTGGACTGAGGGCGGGGCGGGGTGGGGTGAGGAGGCACTTGTGACTTTCTTCATGGCATTTTCCTGCCAAGGAAATTACTGCGCTCCTTTGCTGAATCGTTAGGTAACTTTCAAGAACAGAGTGTTCATGCAGAAGGAGAGGCAGCATAATCTTGCCTGGAAAATAAATAGTAATCATTTTTGAAGAGAAAGCACGTTCTATGAGGAGGCAGGTGCAGTCTTGGGGTGCGGGTGGTCTCGCCTGAGATGGTAAATGTGATCCAGAGGACGGTGTGAGCAGGGGAGAAACTTCGGCGTTTCCCGGTTCGTTGTCTCCCGGGAACGCGGTAAAGACAGGAGATCGGGCAATTTGGCATGAAAGGCAGGCATGTTCGACACGCACACTCAGGGAGTTCGAGAAGGGAGCTGTGGACGCCGTCTCCCTGCCCTGTGCAGTCAGACCAGTGTCTCGTTTTTGAGAACGAACACGGTCTACCAGGGGGCCAGCGGCCATCCCGGGCGGTCTGTCCCAGCGGCCATCCTGGACGGTTTGTCCCGTGCTGGACTTGTGACTTTCTTCATGGCATTTTCCTGCCAAGTAAATTACTGCGCTCCTTTGCTGAATCGTTAGGTAACTTTCAAGAACAGAGTGTTCGTGCAGAAGGAGAGTCAGCATAATCTTGCCTGGAAAATAAATAGTGATCATTTTTGAAGAGAAAGCACGTTCTATGAATTTGGACCACTGCGAAAATTATAGCCTCTCCCCCCAGTGCCCTCCCCCCCCGACACTTTTCAAGCAATCAGTTTGTAATGGAGGGAGCTTTTCTACATTTATCATGAGACAGGTGTGCTGGTGAACTGGAATATTCTGACTTCGCGCGGTTGAGACGGTGGCAGGCCGGGTGCATCCATCACTGCAGTGGGAGGTGACCTCCCCACGTGGAGTCAGACCCAAATACCGTCACTTTGATGTGCTTCTCCCCAGAAGTTACCGCTCATCTAACACAAGTCCCCTGTAACACCAGAAGGCAGAGCCCCTGCTAGAACAGTGAGAACATCATAGCTGGTGCGGCCTTGACGCTGAGCCTGGGGGGTGAAACGGACGTCCTTCCTCTCCCCAGAAGTGCTGGGGTCAAATGGGGCGGCATTTCCTGAGAGGTCAGTGGAGCGAGTCAGGGTCGACTGGAATCCATCACTCCACTTTAACCCAGAGACGCGAGCCCGGCGCCTCCAGCCGCAGCCGCTGCCCGGGAAGGACTGCTTCCAGCCTGTCCCTTCCTGTCCACCTCCACCACCCGGCCTGGCCAGGGCTCCTCGTTTCCTGTCCCTCGGAACACAGCCTCCTCCCGGCTCCTCTGGGCTCGGGAGCAGGAAGCTGTGTGCCAGAGGAGGAAGGGCGTGTGCTGAGCAGTCAGAGCGGCCTCGAGTCTCCACACACATGTGAGGCGCTGGGCTCGGAGCGGAGTCTGGCCTCCTTTATCCCCAGAGTTCCCTCGGCATCTCATGTCTGCTCCTTCTACTTCATCCCCGCCTCACCCTACTCCCCGCCCCTGACGGTCCTACCAAATGACCTTCCAATGCCCTTCAGGTGCCAGGGGCTGGGCCTGTTTCTGCAGGGGGCACCCCCCTCCTGAGCCAGCTCCTGCCCAGCCTGGTGTCCCCTCCTGGG